AAAGATTACATCTAGGGATGGGTTTAGCCGAACGTGGCCGACTTTATCATTGGCCTGGTTTCAACTAAATAACTGAATGAATTGGACAAAATAAACACGTTTAAGACATTTTTCTTAATTTTAGTATTAAGTTCTAGCGCTACATCTGTACATCACAGGTGTTACGTTTGCTGGCAGTTTCACTGACGCCTACAGATAAATGTGTCACATTTCTTAACATAAGGTCGAAGCTTTAATGGGAAATTATGAAACAGTGTTTCTTCATAGTTTATTAGCGGATAAACGCCTACACTGCCAATCAGTGATAAGTGTTTTCCCTCCATGTGTCGGCATGTTTCAGGTACTGCATCTACAAGAGGAGCCTTATCACAGGCCCACTGTAAACTGTACTGTTGGATTATAATTCATTCCGACTTTTAGTAGTTGTAAAGGAAGCTGGACTTATTTTTCCTAATAAATCAATCAATAAAATGTCATTTTCACAAGTTAAATCATTACAAATGAGAGATTTCATAGTAGAATGAGTATATTGCAGTGTGTGTCCTTGATAAATGATCAATCACATCTGAAGTAGACATAATGTGGCCAAAAATGAAGTCTTAAACTGTGTGAAATGAATGATTTTGCCACTGGTGGAGCATTTGTTCGAGGTAAATTTGATTATGGAGAAACAGGGTCACTTCTTCGCTAACAAAATAGGATGATTTGCCCCTTATTAATAAGGAATGATCCAAAATCGGATGTATTAAACTAATGAGCTTCAGAGGTTTGAGACTTTTATCTGTTACATATTTTAAAGACCCCAGAAAATTGTTGCCGAATGAATTAATTATGAAAATTAGCCAGATTTAAACTGTGTTGTTTTAGTAGTAATCAGTCTGCAGCTGATACAATTAAACTGCTCTGCTGTTGTGAGAAGGCCCTTTCTTAACAGTGAAGTCAATCAGACGTGACTCGGTGAGGGCTTGTTTCTTTTGCAGTCTGAAATGAATACTTTGATATTTTAATGTGTAACTCGGGTTTGTGGTACTTTATTTGTAGTGATGGGGATTTTTCGCGTGCATACACACCATTTCAAGCAGATGAATAGTGTTGGCAGCCCTTGATTTGAAGTTGCAGATTTCATTCAGCTGCTTTGAGGTCCACCGGTGCTTTTCTTCTTTAAACGCGTGTACACCTGTTCACACACGGCTCTTTCAAACTGGGGAGATTTTGCACCACTAACTGCTGCACACCGGGTGTCTGTGTTTGAACAGGGCAGTTATTGATCTGCTGCTGCTGGTTTGAGAATAAAGGCGATGCTCGCATACCCCGGCTCTGATGTAAGGATGGTGGTTTTTGTTTTTTAAACCTGCAGACTGGCAGCAGAGCTTGTCACCTGCTACGCGATCTGCATGGCAATAACAAGGAGACAATAAACCCAGTCAGTGTGCTCTGGGTTCATTATGTCTGCACAGAGTAGAGCTTTTCTGAGAGAGGACAATGTCTAATTGTTCGAATATGAATCGTAAAAAAAAACGCGTGTCAAAAGTGACGAGTCGAGTTTTCATATTGGAAACAAAAACCTCGTTTCGAAGTTTAATTGGCAGCTCGGCATAAATTTAAAATGAGAAATCTGATAAACGACAGAGGAGCGTGATAAAATCCAGATCAAATCTGAGGCATAAAACAGTGACAGCAGCGAGGTGGAGGAGCAGGTTTACTGCTGATGGTACAGTTGATGGTGGTTTGATTGAAATGTCCTGAAGCAAAACTCTGAACCACAGTGAACCTCGCAGTGAGAGCAGGGGAGACTTCTGGCTGCTTCAAACTAGAGATGGTGTGTGTGAGAGAGTGTGATGGTGAAATCGTATTTTGGGATAAAATTGTAAGCTACTCCAGTGCTTCCTTTGTTGCGTCCTTTAGCAGAGGATATACTGGATCCTCCTTAATGCAAGGAAAAGAGGTGATGCCATATGTTTGCTTTCTTACAGTGATCAGTGACACAGATCATGCACATGTTAATTTACAGTTTTGTTTGGTTTCGCTTGCCTTCCATGCTGTGACCCACTGATACGATTTCAACCTCCAAAAACAGCCTTTGTTAAACCAGATGAACTCTGAACACCGGGCATTAGTTTCAACCTGAAGTTAAATTAATTCATGCAACACTTAAACTTCAGGCACAGAAAGCTTAAATGAAGGCAGGAGCTGCTCTCGATCATCATTTCTATTTATTTGAAATGGCAGTGAAGTGGTAATTATTTATTTTTTCACCAGTGGCTCAGGAAAGCCAGTAAAAACTCAGTGGGTAAAGTTTCGAAGATCCACCTCCTGGATTTTAGTTTGACGTCAGCAACATGCAAGCGCAGATAGATTATTATTTTTGTTTGTTTCCTTAAGTCCTCATGAGTTATCCTTCTCACCTTTCCTTGATCTCACAACTTTTTTCATCATGATCAAGGAAAAGAGTTTAGCAGAAGCGTCACAGGTATATTTGTCTGGTCGGTCTGCTGCAGACGGCTTTTTGCACAACACTTTTTGGACCCGTTGGCAAACTGATGCAGAATTAAAGTGAGATGTTGCCTAATGTGAATGAATGTGCTCTGGCAGATTATCATTTAAGGAGAAAAGATCGGTTCACTAAAATAAAAATAAACTAGATTAGACGGAGCAACAGAAAGTTGTATCTGATGGTTCAACATAACTCTTGGAAGAAGTATGGAGGAAATGTTTTTAGCGTTTCAGAATAAACAAATGTCTTAGAAGATAGACATGTCTATCACATGGCGCCTCTCCACCAGCTAAATATGAAACTTTGTTAGCGGTGAACTGAAAGTAAATACAATGATAGTAAAACTGTAACCCTGCAGCAGATCCATATTTCCAGCTTTTATGAACCTATAACTCTGTTTTTATATAAGCTTGACTTGTATTTTTTTTTTCCTAGAATTTGCTTATAAATGATTAAAAATGATTTTTAAGAGGTTTGTATTTGATAAAATCCTAAAGTATCCGAGCGGGTACTTCAATTATTAGTGGCAATCAGTACTAGTTTGAGAAGAGATGTTAATTTGAGAGAATATGTTAAACTGTTTTTGTTTAAAATGGTTCAGCTCCAGGAAAAATGCAAATGCCATCGATCCTCTTCTGCTGATCCTTTTCATGGAGCCTGTCCCAGCTGTCTTAGAGTGACAGGCAGGGTGCACCCTGGACAGGTCGCCAGTCTGTTGCAGGGCTAACGCACTGGGACAGACAACCATTCACGTCTATGGGTAATTTAGAGTTACCAATTAACCTATCCCCAGTAACTGCTGTCTTTGGACTGTGTGAGGAAGCCGGAGAGAATTCACGCAGACACGGGTTGAACATGTGAGCTCCACACAGACAGACGCCGGCCTGAAAATGCGACTGATTTAAAAAAACAAACAAAACAACGCTAAAACGTCATGCTTTCTTTTATTTGATACAAAACAAATCAGTGCTCTCTGCAGCACAGTGTGGGTGTTTACGGAAATGTTCAGCGACCTACAAGGAAATCTGTTGTCATATTCAGACGGTGCGCGGCAGCAGTCGGTGTTTGTGGAAAATCAGGTTCATTTATCTCGGGCTGTCTGCCACGCAGGTTTGTTTTCAGAAAGACAAACATGACTCAACCGAGCTGTTGTTCTAGTAGTATTGTATGCTAATGCGTGTAATTGTTATCGTGTTATGAAAGGTATTTTGTTTATCGCCAATTTGCACAAACATGGTGACAAAAAGCTTCTGGAGATCAGCAGCAGATCTGAAAAACAAACCTCTGTGTGCAGTTTGTCGACATGTGGTTAAAAACTAAACCTCCTCTCTGATATTACTGTCATGAATTAAAGAAGAGAGAAGCTTAAGTGTTCCCTGAGATTATAAATGATAAAGTGTGAGGTTGTGTTTTTT